AGTGGCATTCCTGGGTCATATAGTATCAAGTGATGGGATCAAGGTGGATCTGAAGAAGGTGGAAGCAGTGCAGAGTTGGCCCTGACAGTCCTCAGCTTTGGAGATCTATAGTTTTCTTGGTTTGGCGGGGTATTATCATCGGTTTGTTGAGGGATTCTCATCTATTGCAGCATCTATGACCAGGTTGACCCAGAAAGGTGCCCAGTTTATATAGACAGAAGAGTGTAAGGAGAGCTTTCAGAAGCTCAAGACATCTTTGACTAAAGCCCCAGTATTGGTATTGCCTTTAGGTTCGGGGTCTTATACTGTTCATTGTGATGTGTCCCGGGTTGGTCTCAATGAGGTGTTGATGCAGGACCGCGTCGCGAAGGGGAACTGGTGACAGGCGATTTATTGTGCTTCGCGTTTGCAAAGGAGGTCCCCTGTTTGCGAAGCACTAGGGTAGTTGGCATATGCATTCGCGAAGGAGGTCACGCGTTCGCGTAGAGGAACTGGCCAGCTAGGTCCCCAGGCCCTTTTGCCTACGTGTTTGGGATATTGTTCCCGCATTCGTGTAAGGTTGAGTGTTGAGAACTTCGCATTCGCATCAAGTGCTTCATGTTCGCACTGAAGGAATTGTGGGCAAAGAATAAGTTACTCTTCGTGAACGCGAGGGATCTTCCGCGTTCGCAAAGAAGGAAGACTTGGGCAGCAGATTTATATCTCAAAAATGAGGGTTTGGCCATTTTATAAAATATTTGGAGCTCGGATTGGGCGATTATTGGAGGGATTTTCAGAAAAAGCTTTTGGGTAATGATTCTTAACTCCTTTATGGTTATATTTCACTAATCTATGGTTGATTTCATCATTTAATTTCGGATTTGGGTTGAAAAATTGGGGAAAATGGGAAGAAGTTCTTCAACTAAGATTTTAGGTTTTGATTGAGCTTTTGACTTCGGATTTGGATAATTTTGGTACGAGTGAACTCGTGAGTGAACGAGTGTTCGTATTTTGTAACTTTTACCCGATTCCGGATATGGGCCCGGGGAGACTTTTTAGGGCGATTTCATAATTTCTTACTTTAGCTTTGATTTCATTAACTAGATTAGTTTCTTATAGTTATATTTATGATATGTAATTGATTTTGTCTAGATTTGGGCCATTTGAAGTCGGATATTCGTGGGAAAAGCATTGTTACGGATTGATTTAAGCTTGGTTCGAGGTAAGTGGCTTGTCTAACCTTGTATGGAGAAAACCCTTTAGGATTTGGTGTTGTTATGATATGTGAGTGTCGTGTACGCGAGGTGACGAGTGCGTACACGGGCTATTTGTTGAAAAATCTGGTGTTTACTTAGTAATAGCCTGCTTTTATCTTATCTGAATATACTAGCATTCGTAGTTATCCTGTTAGCCTAGAATAGCATGTCTACCTGTCTTAATTGCTTATTTGAACTCCTTGTAGCATGTTTAGTGAATCCTGCTCCTTCTTGACTTGTACACAGTCTAAATTGTAGGTTTTCTTGCTATAATTGTTATCTTCATTTGTTTGAGCTGCGTATTTACTTTGGGACTACGGGATAGTATCCCGGGAGATCCCCCTGCACATTTACTTTTTAGACTGCGAGGCGGTTCTTCGGGTGTTCTCCCTGTATGTTTACTTTTGAGACTACGAGGCGGTACCTTGGGAGATGTCTTGCACATTTACGTTGGACTACGGGACAGTATCCCGAGAGATCCCTTGTTGTTTATCCTTGTATACCGTATTACTACCATTGTTGTGTTTTCCTTTGCTTCATTCCAGTCTGTTATTATACTGTACATTTTCCTGTTTCATTTATTATAGACCAGTGGGCCTGGCCTGACCTCGTCACTGCTCGACCGAGGTTAAGCTTGGCACTTACTAGGTACCGTTGTGGTATTCTCATACTACTCTTCTACACATATTTTTGTATGCAGATCCAGGTACATCATTCCAACCTCGTATTAGTTGTGCATCTGCTGTTGTTACGGAGACTTCAAGGTACATATGCCGCTTTTCCGCAGACCTAGGAGTCCCCCTCTATCTTTTGTGTAATTCCCTTACTACTTCTAAACAATTATGTATAGAACTTTTAGTAAATTCTTAGAAACTTGTGACTTATGATGTTTCGGGTCTTGGGGAAAGTTCTGTATGTATTTTTGGGAGTTGCTTTTGCAAATTCATTCTTATCATTTGTTTCATTACTTACTGTACTGTTAGTAGTTCAAATTTATTTTTCATTTGTTGTTATTCCGAAATTGTTAGGCTTACCTAATCGTAGAGACTAGGTGTTGTCGCGACCTCTCACGGAGGAAAGATTAGATTGTAACATTTTAGATCTGAAGTTATTATATTTAACTAGGATTAACTACTTATATATTAAATTAATTAGTTTAATGTAATACCCTACAAATAAAGGTATATGCGTAATCAATAAAACATAAATAAAGATAGAAACAAGCAAGCAATTAAAAAAATGTAGAAGGGTCGAAGCCCAAGAAACAATTGATATAGGACATCGTATAGAGTTTGGAAAGGGGTGAAATTCCAATTCATTGCAATCTCAAAGAAAAAGTAATAAGAGTAGGAAAGTTGGGGCATTAAAGTTCCTGCAAACCAAAAAAAAACAGAAGCTTATATCAAGCCTTAAGGAAAGAAAGAGAGGAACTGAAAAACAGAGGAAACATTACACTTCAAGAAAACAAAAAGGGTTTTAAAAAATGAGGAACAACAAAGTTACTGATAGCAAGTTCACATCTATAAAGAGGAAATCAAGAAGGACTTGATAGTGTCTAGCGATCTGGTGCCACAAGAGAGCCACTTTCAGCGGAGTTTAATTCGAGTTTCAAATATTATTTTTTCATTAACATAGGTATATTCAGATTATCAGCAATGTAGATGGATAAAACTATTTAATGACTATGATTGCACTATTCTATATCATCTGAGGAAGGCCATTGTTGTGGCTAATGCATAACGTAAAAAAATTTGTGGGGGTAGTTTGGCACATATAGCTCCAGTAAAGAGACTTTTGGTTAAGAATATGCACATACTAAATGGTACAAATGTCGAATTTAGTGTGAAGAAAATATAAAGCTATTGTTACCTTGTATTCAAGCAAAATCTTCATTGGTAAAGTGCATAAAGGCCAGTCAATAAAGATGAGCAGTAATGCAAATATCGAGATGAGGCGCTAGCTAGTAAAAAAAATATGACTATCGACAGAAATTGTATTCTTTGACTAAGTAACTAGTTATGTGTACTAGATGTAGATATGTTAAGACTAGTTATTTTTTAGAAACTCACAACTCTAGATACACTGTACATTTAAGGTCTAGTAAGGTGTACCATGACTAAAAAAGATTAATTGTGGAAAAAGAAAAACGGAAGATTTCCTTAACCTTATTTCTAACCGTTTGACTTGTTAGCATGTCAACATATGTGACTCACAGGTCCACAACAACAACTCGAGATTCCAAGGTGGAAATGAGATAGAATCTTATGACAAATCTACGTCAAATAATTATAGGTTATAATTATATGTGAAAAATTACAAATTGGCTTTCATAGTCGGGATACTTTTACTAGTCAAAACTTCTCATATTGAGGATAAATATGCACAAAATATAAGAATAAAAAATTGTAAAAAAAAATATGGGATCTATTGTCCATCATTTCTAATAGAAGATGATAATTTACTATACAATTTTGATCATCTTTTTAAGATGCATTAGGTACACGAGTCAATTTTAGTACCGCATTTCATTAGCAGATAGATGGGTAGTCTAACGTGCTATACATATGTTGAAAGGTAGGTTGATAACTTGTATTTTGAGTTTGGAGGTAGTTGGACACTTATATAGTTTTAGCTGAATTTGCCCACAACAATAACTTTTAGCTTTCGGTCTATTAACCAGACAAAGATTGCTCGCGGCTCGAAATAGACAAAAATCTTGTGGGGATATGAGGAGAAGGAACTTAGTATTCACAACGGGGGCAGAGTGTCCGTATGGCTCTCCCCTATGAAAGGTGTGACGTAATTCGAAAAAGAGGTATCTTTAGCCCGAGGGTTATAGGGTCGTGCGAGATACTTGACCAAAAGTGAGTTGTGGCATATTATTTGGTACTTTCTCCCGAGTTGTCATTTATTCATCTAGTGTTTCATGTCTACATGCTAAGAAAATGTATATCAGGCTCATCTCAAGTGCTTGAAGCACCACTTACCGCTTGATGAGAAGTTATTTTATGAGAAGGAGTCGATGACTATTATCGATAAATAAGTAAGGAAGCTACGGCCGAAAGAAATCAAATGTCATAAAATAAATTACCGGCATTTATTTGACACTTAAATCAAATGTCATAAATTTTAATGTCCAGAATTTTTCGACATTTACATTAATGTCAGCAAATAAATAATAACATTTATTTACTACTCTTATCAAATATTACCAATTTTGAGTTTTAACACATTTTGGTTGCGACATATAAAGAAATGTCGGCAAAATCATGTCATTCTGGTTATTATCTCTAATTAATCAATAGTTTTTTTCTTCGGCCTTTGATTTAATTATATAAATAATACAAGAATAAGAAATAAACTATCTCGTATACGCGATCTTATTTCATATGCATTTGCTTTCTAACTCGTTTCGGTGATCTTCTTCTCTTTACTTTAGTAGTGAATTTATCTTCTTAGACTTCCTTCTTTCGTTATGTCTTCTCTAATATCTTAATTTCGTTTTCTTTGGAACTATTCTTTCCAAGAAGCTCTTGAAATTATATCTTTCAATACTGGAACTCCACTCAACTAGTTGGAATAATAAGCTGCTTACTTTGCTCATATTTTAATTTTTTCCACACATGTACAGATATATAATTCAAGTCGAAAATAATTAATTTTGAATTGACAAAACTCGTTTAAAATCCATCCTTTACAAAGAACCATAAACAAAGAGATATAACATGCATGGACTACTACGACGAATCCACGTGGACGACCAAGACAACGCCAACTAAGACAACATAGCAATTACGTGTCAAACAGCTTTGCTAGTCAACATCACACACCCCAACAACTTAATTTATTTCATATGTAGGAATAAGACAACCAGGACCACCTTACCTTTGAACCCTTATCTCCTTGTTTTATTACCCTACAAAATAGAACCATTTGAGTTGTAAATTAATGTACATGCATGAAACTAACCATTGAGCTAGTTTTGAAAGTTTACATCAAACATCATTGTCCCAATTGAATAGAAAGGCAGGCAATCTTTCGGAAAATTCTACTAATAATTGTTCTCACTTTTCATTGGAATCTTTAGAAGAAGAATCCAACAACATATTATGGATTCTTTGTCTTGTCGTCTCCAATTGTGATTCTGCTGATAATATTGATGATGATTTTTCCACTCTCGTTTTATTGTATGCCTCAAAGAATTCTTTGTTTTCCTTCTCCAATTCCTTCCACACTGCATACATACAATTGATAATTAAAACTAAACTAATAAACTATAGGTAGAACAGTCTAAGAACTTTAGAACAATTTCTTTTGAAATGAAATATAATAGGAGTAGCTAAAATAGTCTTGGAGTTTCTTAATTATCTCATGGCCAGAAAGAAAATGGAAAGGGACAAAACTCCTATACATACTAAATAATAATGAAGGACTGTTCGTTGTATTAAACTTTTCCCATCCGCAGGATCCGGGAAAGGACCGGATCAGTATAAGGGTCTATTTTACTCAACTTTACCCTATATTTCTGCGAGGCTATTTTCACGGCTCGTGACCTCCTGGCCACATGGCAGCAACTTTACCAGTTACGCCAAGGCTCCCCTTCACATGCTAAATAATAATAACAGCATTATTTGGAAAGATTTTTATATCTTCAACATATTCAAATATATTTATCACTTCTACTCTAAAACTAAGCAAACATAAAAATGCCATTGATCAGAAAATGTATGCTGGTTTAATGGAAAGTCTGTCCTCATCAGAAACCCAAAATAAACCAAACAAATATCCATTCATTCCCACGTGCACATGTTTTCTTCCTAATCAAACTCATACTGTTCCAGATATGAGTTTGAACTTTGCTCAACTTCTCAGGCAAATGAAGCTTTAGACAAAATAAGTATTAAAAGGGAAAAGAATTATGAATTTATCTTTATAATTAACTTTTGTGCAATCAGTATATTTTAACCTGTCGAATAAAATTACTTAATCTTAATAAATTAATTCCACATATCAAGGACGGATCTATGTCGGTGTAAGCGATGCCATCCAATACCGCTTCGAAACAACTCACTAAACAAATATGTAAATAATATAGGTTATAATTGCTCTAATTACATAGATGACCATATATACAATAAGAAATGAAGAAAAAGAAAACATATCTGTCATTAGTATTGAAAAAGTAATAGAAACTCATCGAGTATAATTGTATTAATGTATTTAAATGTATTTTATTTGTCTTTGTTGCAATCATTTTCTTATTTGTTTTCTTTTTAAATAACGAGACCGCTTGCANTCCCCCAACCCAACCCAAACCCTCCCCCTCCCCCCAAACACACAAAACACACACAAAAAACATAAAAAAAATAAAAAGGAACAAGGGAAAATGGAAGCAAAAAAAATAAAAAGTAAAAAAAAAAAAAGGTATAAAAAAAACCGGTGAATTTACCCGTGGAAGTAATAATAGGCTGGATATTTGCATGTTTGGAGAGTGCTTCCATGCATTCTTCTCTGTTCATTTTGAAAATTATACACTCCTCTATCAAGTGCTGCACCTGCATTAATTCACCACACCTTTCTTAATTAATTAGTAAATTTAAGTATTTAAACCCCATCTTTAAAATCACCTGCCTAAACCTTAATTACCACTGAAAAAAAAGTATAGGAGTAGAAGATGATGACGAAAAAGAAAGAAGAAAATTTGCCACGTTTAAAAAATATTTTATCTTGAAAAAAAAACAAATTACATGTTACACAAATAAAAGTTATCTGATGATATAAAAATTTCACGGTATATATAACTTAAACTCTAAGGAAATTATTACTTAGAAGAGAAGATGCTAAAACTTACCATGTGGATGTATTGAGCAGACGAGTCACTCATTTCTATCCAATTACTCAAGAAATTAAANTCCTAGAAAAATGACATATGATGAATGATTTTATGTTTGCTTGTGGATTTAAGTAATTTGATTGTGTATATGACATATGATGTGGATTTAAGCATTATAGTTTAGAGCCTAATAACTATAGTTTGCCTAATTATCATTAATTTTTTTTTTTTTTTGTATCAAGAAGAGGAGAAGCATTTGAGTAGAAACTATATTTGGAGAGTATGAGAAAGATGGAGAAGTAGGGTTTATTGGTAGAAGAAACAACTAGTTTTACTATAAAAAGAAAAAGGCTAAAGCTACATTTGGGGTGTAAGACGTTTCGGCAAAGGTGGGCATATGTTAGTGACAGGAGTAAACAAATTTGGTAATATATTTCTATTTTATAATGGAAAATGATGTTATCCGTCCAATTTATTAATATAAAAAATATCAAATATTACATTGTTTATAACTAACTTACATTTAAGAATTATGAAATTATATATAAAAAAATAAAATTATCTAAATCCTTAAACAATACTACTTGTGATAAAAAATTGAGTAATTGGTTTTGCAAACTGATTTTTTTCAATATTTCTCACTGTTTAATTAGTAGAAGATTAACAAAATGAATATTTACTAAGAGATAAATGACAGTAATAAATATTTTAATGGCTAAGACTTATCATATAGTATTTTTAAAGTGGTGTATCCAAACTTTAAACGAAAGCATGGATACGAGGAGTATTCAGTGCGGAAAGAGGCTGTATTATAAGGGGCAAAAAATTGGTCGGTCGATCGAAATTAATGGTATATGCAAATCAAAAAGTATATAAATATAAAATAAAAATGAATTTTGATAAAATATATATAAGGAGCAGAGCACCTAATAATATTATTTCCTTCGTTCTAGTTTATATGAACTATTTTTTTTTTTTTGTCTATTCCAAAAAGAATGACCTCTTTCTAAATTTTAAAATAATTTAACTTACACTTACAATTCTATCATTAATGAGAAGCTTTTATAACTATGCAAATACTCTGGACCACTTTTTGACTTGTTTATTATTACATATTCAAAAAAAATTATTTTTTCTTAAATTCTATGGTCAATCAAACAGGTTCATATAAATTAGAACAGAGGGAGTAATATGTTTTTATATATTGCTCCAAAAAAATTACAACACTGGAGACTGGAGTACTAATTAAGGCAGTGATGAGGTGATGTCATTCTGTTGATGGGAACGTAAGGCCCACGTGGTATATGGCTGGTTGTCATGGGATTAGGGCATATTTTATGATCAAAGGCCACGTGAAAAAAGCTAAGCCCACAGATCCACTGTTTGGCCCAAAACCGGTTCCGGGCCCACCAGCTCTTATCAAACCAGTGGGCTCTACGACTAAACCCAGAATTGTAGAAGCTCTAGGTCATGTGGAGTGTTGTAATTTCTTGGAAATTTTATAGACGCCTTTTCGTATATATACCATATATGAAACTATATTACCAAACATATTCATAGTTTGATTATTATCCTTTATGCTAATAATATTTCTACCTAATATATACAATACATTAAATAAGGAATCACTGTAGTTTTATGATTCCTTATTTTGCGCACTATAAAAGGGGAATTAAATATTTTTCAGATCTTCCCCAACGCAAATCACGCACATTCCATAATTATCGTCGGCTTCACTCTGATCTTCCATAACGCAGAACAAGATTTTTCATACTTTGTTTTTGCGATACACTCTGTTTCTAAAAATTCTCTCTACATTTCTCTCTATTTCTCAATCGCAAATTTCAGTAATACAAAGCAAATGAAAAGAGAGCAGCAATTCCACCATTGACAGCCATTAAAAAGCTTGAAAGCTTTGAATTCAAATTTGGGTTTTCAAAAATCATTATTTGTTTGGATTGGGTGTTGTTGAAAATAATCGGGAATATGGTTTGGAGTTTATATCTCAATTTTGAG